AGTGGATAAACAGGCTATATAAGTATGACTCACAGCACAGAATCATATTGCTCATAATGCATTCAGTGTTATTTCTGAGCCCACTGGCCCAGGGGAATGTGTAATTACCTGTTGGGCAGCAACACTGTGTGGTACCTCTGTGTGTGTATGTGAGCCTGTTTGCAACATGAAAGAACTGGTGAGATCAGGGCCTGCAGTAGAAGGCCAGGCCAGCGGGACAGCTGTAGGGTTGAGACCAACTCATCAAAAACGTGAGACTTTTGCTATTTTTCAGTTCCTTAAAAACTACTATATAGGCCAATAACAAGAGCTACCAACCCTTCAGTCAAGAATGTTATTTTTTAAAGAAAATGCAGCTTAATATAATTTCAAAAAGTTAAATAATTTTCTTTTGAAAACATAATTCAGTAGATTCCCATGTTTCACAACTGGCACATTATTTAATTTTATTGAGTGTTAATCTGCATTAATTGATTGGTGGAACTTATATATTCAATCAGAATTTTTGGTTATTGGTAACTAATTGGCTTGGCACAAATTAGTTTAAGACCTTTAAATCTAATTAAAAAACTATTAAATTCCTCCATGCTAACTTCTTTGTCCAATCCAGTGTCACAGGGGTGCTGGAGCCTATTCCAGAAAGCAACAGGCACAAGATAGGATAGAACTTCTACAGGACACCAGTCCATCATAAGGACACAGACATACAGGCACTCACGCCAGGACCAATTTTCCCAGAATGTCTTTGGAATGTGGGAGGAATCAAGAGGAAACCCACATGAACACAGGGAAAACATACAAATTCAACACAGACAGCACCTTGAGACCCCAGTGCTGCAAGGCAGCATTGCTAATCAATGCACCACTGAGCAGCCCAAGATTATTGTCATTACACCCCCTTTTCCACAAATCATTTAAAAACAATTCCACAAACATTCTAATAGTTTTCGATTGGCAATAAATGAACTTAGGTTGACCTACAGTAGAGTATACCAATCTGATATTTACAGTATGTAATAAAACAAAACTACATTTTAATAATATTTTGGAAGTAACATATTGTGGTAAACATAGTGTGCTTCCAACCTGACATACATTTTTCCATAATTGTAATTTTCATGAAAAACTGACATTGAAAAAATTACACGTTGAAAAAAAAAATTTTCTATTTCAATGAATTTGAACTCCAAAAAGAAATCACCTGATGTGAGCTTCTTTGAAGATGAGCAGACAAAAACGTTATAGTCAAATGCCATGCAAACCTCCCCTGGATGCAGTTTCCACGTAATGAATTTATTAGCTTCATGGCTCTTTTCCCCCTCACCCCACCTGCATTTCTGCAAACTGGGTATGGCAGCACTGAAAAAAAAAGATTGAAATTATTCCTTCTCCAAGGCAACTGAAAATTCTATTAACCTAATTGATTGTTCTGTGAACTTGCCCATTGATTTACTACAGGCACACTCATTACGCAAGCGATGCTCTATTTTTAGTGCCATAGAGGAGGGGAAGGCAGCCTCCTGAGTAAGAAGTGAAGGCCACCCTTCCCAGCTAAATATATGGCATGACAGCAGCTGAAAGGAGCTTTAAGAATACATGTTTGAAAACCAAAAAAATACATTTTAGCGTAACAGCAAGAAACCCAGCTGTGCTCTTACATTTTGCTTCTTAAATATCTACTGGCTACTTTCAAAAACATCACTCTTTGTATGAATAAAGGTATAAATGGAGAGTAGATTTACAGGTGGGGTTTCTGTTCTCTTGGTATCGAACCTCCTTCACCATCCAGCTGTTGTGTAAAGGGAAGGGAAAAGACACACCAGAGGTCAGGAATGGTTCACGGCTTCACAAATGCCCCGAGTGACCTTGGGAGAGGTGCTCGTTCACAGCTCCTTGGCATGTTTAAGTCTGGTGTCAAAATGGGAATCACTCACACTTGCCACAGAGCTTGAGGCACAGGCAACGGTTTTTGATTTTCACAACAGAGGAAACACACCATGGGCAACAACCCTTTTGAGATCCCTCTGCTAGACTGATGGGGATGCTGTGCATCAGGCACATGTCCTGGAATAAGATTGGAGAAGGGCTGATTGCAGGAGGTCAGACTTCAGGCTCAGACCCTGTCGGTTTGACCTCGCAGGATGTGCAGTTTTGTTGCGGCAACAGGGAGGCCCATCAGCCTCAGCCAGCTCCTTCTCTCCAGGGCAGAGCACCCAGACCAAAGGACTCAAAATGCAGAACCGTTGTTCACCATCATCCCATACTTTCTGTTACTTTTCGATTAATTCTCTGATTGTTATTACCATCATAAAAACGCAACATGTATGTGTGGATTTAGCTCCTGTGTCATGATTTGTTTTCAAACTGGGGATCCTTTTCTACGGAGTCTGCATGTTCTGTCTGTTTTTGTGTGGGTTTTCTTTAGGAGCTCCAATTTCCTCACATTTTTAAAGGCACGCTGGCTTTGTTAATCAGTGTGTCTGAAATGTCCCTGTGTGCACACCCTGCAATGGATTTAAAAACCAAAGAGTTTAAGAACATTCTTAAGTGCAAATTTTAGTAAACATGAGCTGAAGAGTCTTGGTAATAAGAAGTCCCAGCATGGTGTGAATTTTCAATCTGCATCAATGGTTTTGAGCAAATTGTTGAAATATGCACTTTCATAATGATGGTAACAGATATGGAATATATTGCAAATTAATCAACACTTTCCCATCTCTGACAACCACCACTGGTTTCTCTGTCTTTTAAAAAATCTCATAAAAACATTCTTTATCTGTGAATATTACTTTTCCTTTTAAGATAAAAAAGCCTTTTCTGTTTCTCTGTGAAGTAGAAATCACAGAGGAGCGCTTACATGATGTTTAAAGTGGAAGTGACGGCTGCACCCTGCTGGAAACATTTTAATTCTGGTGCTCCTCTTTGATTTCGCTAATGAAAATTTATATTATCCAGATATCCAGCAGGTAGACTAATCAGCGTAATGATGGCAGTGGAAAGTGTTAGAGAATCTACGAAGTGTGGAATACAAAACAACAGGGTGTGCAGCCCTCACCTGTTTGTTTTGACTTATACATTCAATTACCTTCCTATTGTTTGATCTTCAGATTTTGCGGGGGTGATTTCTACAGCCGAAGGGCTGTGGAGGTCTGTTCAGGATAAAAAGACACATTCTCATACAGTGATAAAGGAGCAGACTAGCCACAGTGGACAGATTTGACAGGCCTGGACATCAGCAAGAGAGTGTAATAAGGTTCTTTTACTAACATGATGAAGAACATGCAAATGTTTTTATTCTTTTTACCTTTACCCAATGACTTTCTCTATTTATATGTGTTATTGAGTGGTTGTCGGATGAGGGAGCAGTAGTTCAGACACAAAGACTCACATGTGTCCCACCACAGCTTTCAACTTACTCAAAATAATCACATTTAAAACATTTTCACTGTCTAAAGGTATGCACGAATACTTTAAAGAAAGAACTCTACTAAACTAATCTGTTTTCTTTAATGTGCAAATGTTTGAGATGCAACTGACCAATTGTTTTGTAGGTGTTTTGCTGTTTTTTTAAAACACTACAACACTACAACCACTACAACCACTGCAGGCGCATATTTCAGTGATTTCAGTGATATCTGAGATCAATTAAAAGGTTGTTGTCAATATAAGAACACCAACTGGCAATTGGATTTAGCCAAATTTAATGTCCATTGAGGAATAATGACACAAACTTGCACTGTGAAAAGCAGCTATTACAGTACATGAGCATAATGGAATGAGCCCCGGTCCATTGAAGATCAAAGAGATGGATCAGTGCTGTGGATTAACCCCATATTACAAGGAAGAAAGTTAAAGGCGGGGGGGAGACAAAAAGGGAGAGTATCATTTCTAGCAGACATCTGTCTAATACTCCCAGAACAGGTTATCTTCCAATGCTTGCTCTGGTCTTTCCTGGAGAAAAATAAAGACGCATCATGTTGGTGAAAAGGGGGAATGGCTTTAACATTTTCCACACTCATACAGTTTCCTACAATTATTTAATGCAGCTTATACCTCAAAAGTCAACAAAAGTGGTTGGTTATCCTAGGTTATAGCATCCCATTGCAATATGAGTTTATCATCAAATCTAGGACTGGGACTATATACAGTATGAGCACATGAATGTATAGAAATATTCTATTAATACTGTACCTTTCAAGCAACTAACTTTTTTAAATTACGTTGCGTAAATATTTTATTTTTACGTCAGTCTACAAACATATTGGATTTATCGGTCAGTTTCCTGTTTTTGGTTAGAGATTTCTGATGCACTTGGACACTGATTCTTCTTGCTGACAGACCCTGAGCCTGGAATTTCAAATGATAAAACTCTTCATCCATCCATTTTCTAACCTCTTTATCCAATTTTGTGTTGTGGGGGAGTTGTTCCCTAATCTCAGTAAGCAACAGGAACAAGGCAGGATACATCCTGGATGGGACCCCTTTCATTGCAGGATAGACACATAGACACAAATCCACACCAGGGCCAATTTTCCTAGAAGCCAGTTAACCTAGCAGTAACTCTTTGGGCTGTTGGATGGAAACTGGAGCACATTCCAGGAAAGCATCCCAGGAATTGAAATCAGGACCCCAGCACTGCAAGGCAGTAGTGCTAATCACTGCCGCCCCATTTCAAAACTAAATGCTGTTAAAGCCAACTCTCACCTTGAGCTATGTGCAAAACGTCAGTAAAAACTTCACAGGAAGGTGGCTGCTCCCACATATGTGCTGAAAATATTTGTGGCCGTTTGTGCAAGTTGAAGCTTGCGAATGGAGGCTAAACTCTAATGGCACAGAGGCATTTTTTCTTACCAGTATAAGTCACAGCTTTGTGAAAGACAATGCTTAACCTCAAAGGCCTGTAAATCTGTCAGATCTAATGGTTTATTGGGAAGAGGTACTGTATCTCTTCATAGCCTTAACTATCCCCGTCTAAATCTTGTCACTTTCTTGTGTTTTAGGTGTGACAGAACTCAGCTGGTTTCTTCCCCTGGTCAACCCCAAAGCAACTGCGATCATCGGCAGAAACAGTGCACTGGAGTGCAAATAATATATTTCTTTTCAGTCATCTCACAATGGGGTTTGCATGACGTTTAAAAATGTCACATGTTTCCAAACACTACGTTTATCCAGTACATGACTATGCTGCAGTAAATGGTTTAATACAAGCAAGAAAAAGTCAGTTTTGGACTCAGTGGTCACATATGTAATGTCTCAGTGGACTTCCCAGTGAATGTATATTTCAGCTTGTGGCACTATCTTTTTTCATTTCATTTTTTTATTTTTGAAAATGAACATACTTTTTTTTTCTAGGGCACAGAGGAATGTGGATAGCACAGTGAGAAGGGGATGAGAGAAATGTGGAGATCTGCAGGACAGATCCTCAGGAAGCTCTAGATAAATGTTCAGATTCTCAACTCAACAGTTTATCAGTTAGCATGCAACACTGGCAATTTTCAGATTTAAGTTTCTATTTTTAAGAGAGTATGTCACTTTTAAAGTTGACTGACAGAGTGTAATAATAAGCAAATGTTTCATTTGAAAGGAGTGCATTCTTCCTTAGGAGAAAACAAGTCTTTTTCAAGCACCAGCAAGTCTGAAATCTGCGTGCATTGAGGCAAACCAAGTCCTCAATGATGGTTTCTCCAAGTTCCACTTTAAGCCTGTTCTACTACTGTATATGCAAATCCTGCAGATAGTGATCTTCAGAACATTTAGAAAGTGCTGCTGTGAGGCTCTTAAGAAGCCCTGTGTTAAATAGTGTCATGGGCAATTCTTTGCTGTTGCTGTATCTGTGACTAAATGATGGCCTTCTTTTTCAGCATGTTAACGCGAGACGTAAATCAAAGTTGGTTGGAGTTAATTTCCCTTTACTGACTCCAAAACCATAAACATGGAGATGTCTGCACATCTAGTCTCTTTTGTAAGGAACATGGGATTCAGCAAGTAGAGGGAATGTCTGGGAAGAAACAAATGAAAATGAGAATCTTTACAATTATTAAACTACTGTAATTATTGCTTGTATTTAATCAATATTTCACATTTTCTGATTATTTGATTTTTATTTCAAAATGTGGGTCACAGCATATGCATAATACATGATTAAAAAAATCTGTGAACATTAGTTTGTTAATAGAATAGAGCATGTGAAGCACAAATTGGTTAATCTAAACCTCTGGATAAAGACAGTTATTACGTGTCACTCTACTGAATCAATCATCATTTCAGCAATCTACTCCCATCCCCTGATTATACCTCAAATATCTCAAATGTGGTTCTATTTTAAATAGTCTGTAGGCCAATATGGTGCCTAGGGTAGCACTGTCACTTCAGAACTGGGTTTGAATCTGTCTGTCTGGAGTTTTCATGTTCTCTCTGCCTTATATCAGAGCTCTCTAGGTTAGTCTCTAAACTGACGCCTGTACATGTGTGTGTTTGTCCTGTAATAAACTGGTGTACAATCCAAGGTTCAGGGACTTGAAAAACACCTACAACAAGCTCTTGTATGCACTGCCTTAATGTAAATGAATTTAATTTTCTTTTAATACTGCTTTAATTCTGACCTCCCCTTAGTAACCCCATAGTTTGTCGAACAGCAGCAAGAAGTGATAACAAATGTAGACATTCAAAATGAAAGAAAGATTCTGCTTTTCCCGATCCTTTACACAGCCTTCTTTAGATCTATGTTCTGCATTCTAAGCACAACTCCTCTTTAATTAAATCAAATTGCTGCTTATTGAAGCTTCATTTGTTTTTAAAGGAAATCTGGACTATAAAATGGCTGAGTATGTGAGTAAAAAAAGTACCATCAAAACTGTTTAGATGAGCAGAGTTTACAGCTGAGAAGAGTTACATTAGTTGTCTGTAGTGATAATCCCATCTACTTGAAAAAATCTAAAGGATTCTGTTGTTTTTATTGTTGTGCCACACTGTAAATTGGGGTGAATGTGTCCCACTTTTCTCTCCTGCTTCTATTTCAAGTACAGAGGCAGCTTTCCTGCTCTGTGTCAAGTTCGTTTAAACCATCTCTGAAACAACAGCTGCAATACTTAGTTTCCCACATATCCTTTCCGCCTATATATAAGAGGAAACAGAAGACGAAAACTTACAGTACATTTTACAAGGCAGAAACCATACCATTTTCTGCTTTCTGTGATCAGATACTAGATAAGGTTTAAAATTAGCTTTGTTTTTCATACCAGGTAATTTGAGATTCGGATCACATTAATAAAAAATATTAAAACAGAGCAGATTATTTCAGTGGAACAAGCACATTGATGTCGAATAACTGTACAGATGGCAGTAAACCCTTCCTTGTAACACAAATGTAAAACGCATGTGCTGCTTCTCTGTGAATTAAAAACTTCCCATTTTTAAATACAAAAACAGTGAAAGTTCAAACGACAGTACAGTATTACAAAGAAAAAAAAATCAAAGAAAAATAAAACAAGCAAAAGCAGCCTTTTCTTGATTATGATGATGCTGGTGAAGTGATGACCGTGTGTAATGTGGCATTGTGGGTAGTGTTGGTGCTGCTTTGTAGCTCTCTAATGTCCTGGGTTCAATTCCTGACTGAGGCACATTCTGTGTGGAGTTTACATGGTCTCTCCATTTTTGTGCAAGGTTTCTGTGGGGGCTAAGTTTCTCTCCCACATTCCAAAGCCATGCTGGCTGGGGTGATCGGTAACTCTAAGTCCCTGTATGAACGCTTGTATAAGCTTTCTGGATAGTCTAATTTTACTCAAAGCCACTAGAGATTTTTACCATAAGAACAATATTGACTGCTGATAATACAGTTTAATTTTGCATGAGAAGAAAATTATCTCATCATTTAGCAATCCTTAATTTTCATTCATCAGATTTGTTCAAAAGCCGACTACCACAAAACCATACTTAGCCAACTAATCTGGGCAAATGTAATTGACTAATTGTGAGGCATCCCTCCTCTCGAAAATAATTGATTCCTCATTCACATCCATAAAGCTACAAAACTTTTTTTGAGTGACAGAATACGGATCTTTCTGGTTTCACTTTTGGATAAAAAATGGCTAAATTCCAGTAGAAGATTGCCATTCAGTTGTGTTTCTGTATAAAGAATGGAAAAGCATTGACTTCAGTGGTGTAGGAGAACATAGCGCCAGAACTCAAGGAGCACAATCCACAGAAGGGAGAAGAGGATCTCAAACATCATGACATTTAATCCCTGCCATCATTTATTTATACGTCATTAAAGTTCCTTTTGTAGAGCCAGTCCTTTTAATAACAGGAGCAAATGATCCCTTGTGTCTTCTGATACCTAAGTCAAAGAATAAGCCTGCTGCCGTTAAGGTTGGCATGGCAGAGAGACATATCAGTTTGACATGCCTTATCCCTGTTAGCAATCTGCCAGGGCATGTCAAAGAGTTTCTGCATCCCTGCTGACTACCCTAGTTACCTGAGGTTGGGAATGCCTGCATCCCCAAAGTGGTACCTATACTGTATGGTGTTATACAAAGCAAATAAAAAAAAGCTGAATGTGAGATTCATTAGTTAGCAATTAAGTCATTTTTTAGAAATTCTTCAAGTGCAGTTTATGATGATGTCTTGTAGGAAATTGAGGTGGTAAGAACTGCAGTAACAGAAAGGCCAGCCAAGGGTAAGGAGTACAGACAGTGCAAGGTACAAGGAAATTCCTCACTTTATTTTATTTGTTTTATACCAGGCTGCAAATAAGGGACATGTGCTGGAATTTATCTCTCTTACCAGAACTCAGTCTGAAATAGATGTTCAAAACTCAGTCTTTCTATTACTATTGCAGCAAATGATCTTGCATCTGAATATTTCAGAGAACAGTTTCAGTGAAGCTGCAGCTGTAGGCAAACTGAGCTTGTAATGAACCCAGTGATGTGTGGTGTGACTGCTTTCTGAAGCCTGTCCTTGTTCCTGAGTTATTTAAATCACACACCCTCACAGGAAAAGGTCTGTACTGAGCACCTTCCCACACTGTGCTACTTTGTGTTGTCTGCAAGAGCACTTCCAGAAGTGTGGCCTGTGTCATGGGTACCCATGCATAACCTTGCTGCTGAAAGCATATCTGAACTCTGCCCGCTGGCACATGCCTGCAGGGCAGAATTACTGCTGCATATAAAAAGAACTTTTATAATGATCAGTAAACTGAAGTTCCCTTACAAATTCACATTTTCAACATACTGACACCAAAAGTCATTTCTTTTGCGTGCAAGACTTAAGAAGTAAAGAAACACTCAAATTTGGGCTCATAACTTCAATAATCATAAAATGCAGACTACTTTTTAATTTTCAAGGATTGGCCAAAAGGGATGTAGCATACATTTTCTAAACTAAATAGAGTTTAATTATTCATTGGCGTCGACAGTACAAATATAACTGTTGATCTTCAGTATTATTCCCATTTATTGTCTTGATATTGATCATTCTTGATCATTCCTTGTGAAGGGGAGGCAGAATTATCCATGGAGCACTGATAAACCCTAGCAAGGAACTAAATGAATGCTAAGGAAACAGGAAGCAAAAAAAAGTAAAAATAACAAATAATCCAAGAATGACATAAAGAAAAAAACAATAAAGTTCAAAGTTGCAGGAAATTACAAAAAATGTTGCAAATGGTAGGAGAGCAAGGCGGCTTTCGGGGCTGATAACCTCAATCTGACAGACTCTTCCCCGGTCAGAAACCCCTGCTGTCACTGCCGAGCTTGGAAAGACACCAGCACTAATCCCTGCTTTTGATCTTCTTTAAAGCAAAACCCATCATCGCAAATGTTGCATGCAATAAATAGAAATCATCCTTTCAGCTCTTTCAATACCCTTGCGACAGGAATTTGCCATACTTAGAGCAAAACAGACATGCAAACACGCGTACAGTACGTGCATTAGTGAAGGCAGATATTTGAGATCTTTCTTTTTATTTCCTCTTTCAGGATTATGCACAGGGGCAGCTGTGTGATGTAATGGTAAGGACCTCAGTCTCCAGGGTGGAGGAATGTGAGCTGAAATCCTGGGTGGGACACTGTTGCTGTGCCCTTGAGCAAAACACTTCACCCAAATTGCCCCACAAAATGCCCTGATGAAGGAATGAGATTCTGGGCCATCATTGTAAATGAGCTTTTGTTCTCAAGTGACTTTCCTGGTTCAATGGAGAAATAAATATCTGAAAAAGCTGTAGTACTTTAATTAATGAGTTGAAAGAAAAGATTATAATGTTGTATTCTTGGTTCAAAGACGGGAGGCTGTGTAATACTGTAACAACAATTATTCTCACCATCTAAAGCACCTTTGCATTAGAAGATATATTTTTGATGTAGAAGGAATAAGATTATTTACCAATGCATTAAATGTAATGAAGCTTATAATACTCTTCACCCATTCATGCATGCTGAATTAACTAATTTAAGACAGTAAGTGCCAGAAGTACGTATATCTACAAGTGCTGGATGTCTAGGAATTTATATACTGTAAGTGCTGGCACTTTGTAGCTTAACATATTTAAGCTAACTGCAACTTGCTAAGATGAATCAGTGTTCAGAACACTTAGATATAGCATCATTTACACATAATTGTGGTGTAACAGTATACTTGTGCTTCCTGAATGAATGAATAACTTTCTTTCAGAAAGTTTCTTTCGTTTTGCTGGGTGCAAAAACGAACATCTACAGCTGTAGAACACATGTACGTATTTGTGTGTGAGTCAAAACAAAATGAGAATTGTTTTGTTTTTAAAGTTACATCTGAGTAAATGTTTGCCGAAGAAAGTCCTTTATTTAGATTTGATATTTGATTAAATAAACTGTTCAAGGTTATGACAATCATGCCTGCGATTGCCAGTTTACTATCAATGGAACTGTTCTGCAGCTTGATAAGCCTACAAAGGGCTTTTGAATTTATGAGCTTTAAATTGCATAAGCACATCCTATTACTGACACCTCTTTCATCCTCTAGTTTAGATTTCCCAAACCGAAAAAAAAAGGAAATAGGGCTTAAGTTTTCTAAAGGGGCTGAATTTTAAAAGCACCTAGCATTTCTTTCCAGCAGTGGAATGCAGTCATCCCAATGAGGATAGCCATTCCCAAACCCTTGCAAATAGGTAAAGGCAAACACTGGGCACAGAGTCAGACATTTCCAAAACAATGTGACTACATTGTGATAAACAGTGTGTGATATAAAAGTGTGATTATCCATTACATTCAGATTGTAGAACTTGCTGAATGTACTGGGGAAGACCATGTAGCCATAATGGAAATGCTGAAAGAGGGTTGGGAAGTGGGAGGTGACCCAATGGATATACAGTAGCTGGATGAGTCCCAGAAGTTGCACACAGTAGGATGTTATTCATGATGGAGTGAGACAGATTGCGCTTGAGATAGCAGAGCCTAGGATTTTTCCCCCAAAGTGAGAAAACAGAAAAGCAGTGCACCAGCTGAATGGTACTTTGTGACAAACATAAACATTAAATTCCCTTTTGAGGCATGACAAAAGACCAAGCATGTGGTGATATAGATCAATTGTCAAA